CAATTCCCTGTAAAACATTTTCTTTCCATCCATTTTCCAACTTTGCATTCAAACGGTCCCTTAGTGTCTTGCGAAGTTACATAAGAATCCGTATGAGCAAACGTGTGTATATATAGTTCGTGGGTTGGAGTCGGTTAGACAACAATAAAACCATGGGATTGCATTTGCATTTGCTGCAAGCCCAATTACTTGTGTCAATTCTTCTTATTTTTGTTTCAAGATCAATTTCTACTCAATCAAATTTCCAAATAGCAGAGCCCAACTGTACGGATCATTGTGGAAATGTAAGTATTCCCTTCCCTTTCGGCACGAGGGAAGGCTGTTACTTTAACATATCATTCTCAGTCAGTTGTAATGACACCCACTATGATCCTCCCAAACCATTCTGGGTAGACTCGCGCATAAATATCACAAGCATATCCCTGGAGGGCCAATTGTATGTCTTGCAATCCATAGCAAAAGACTGTTATTCTCGGGATGGCACCAGTGTGGATTATTATGAACCCTGGATAACACTGATCGATGGATTCGTGGTCAATAATACTGCCAATAAGTTCTTTGTCGTTGGCTGTGATAGTTACGCTTATGTATCTGGGAGCCTAAATAACCGGAGTTACTTGACAGGGTGCTTTTCCACGTGCAACGACTTGGGTGATCTGGTCGATAGCTCGTGTTTGGGTGTAGGCTGTTGCCAGATTTCTATCCTGAAACTGTCGTGGAAAGTTGAGTTGACATTGCATAGCTTTAATAATTTGACAACTGTGTCAGACTTCAATAATTGCAGCTATGGTTTTCTAGCTGAGGAAAGTGCATTCACTTTCTCAGAAAGTAGCCTTTTCTACCTGAGGAATGTGGAAAAGCTTCCAATGGTGGTTGACTGGACAGTTGGAGAAGGAACTTGTGAGGAGGCTCGAAATAACGTTTCTAGTTATGCATGTAAAAGTGAAGTCCAAGTGTTATGAACCCGATAATGGTTATGGGTATCGTTGTCATTGCCAGGACGGTTACGATGGAAATCCATACCTCAATGATGGCTGTAAAGGCATGGCTATATTATCTTAAAAGTACA